AATAAATAGGGTTAAAATGAAGTTAAACAGAAACAACGTCGAGTTCTAGAAGAAAGCAGAGTGGCGCAGTGGAAGCGTGCTGGGCCCATAACCCAGAGGTCCGTGGATCGAAACCACGTTCTGCTAGTGAACTATTGTTTTTGTATTTATATTTTTTATTTACATTCTTTTATTTGCATACCAGCTTTTTATCATATATATTTTTTGTGATTTTTTTATTTATTTACAAAGTATATTATATTAGATTTTCAATAAAAAATAATTATACTATTAAAAAAATGGCAACTTGAAAGATTAATTTTATTATTATTTGTCTCCCTTCAAATAATTCAACTTTTATATGAAACATTTTTTTATACAATTTCAAATTTATCTAGGATATGCAGTTGTTTCTATTAAAATGGAACACCCTGTATTCTTTTATATTTATAAAAAACTATATTTAGTATTTTTGTCTCATTTAACAATTCGTAACCGAGAAATATTCTAAGCATTCATTTTATTGTAAATAATATAAAAAAATTTCGCCCAACGTGGGGCTCGAACCCACGACCCTGAGATTAAGAGTCTCATGCTCTACCGACTGAGCTAGCCGGGCTACTTGATAGCAGTTTCACTTAATAGATATATGAAGGATGTATGAGTAAACTTAATAGATGCATGAGTAAACAATAATAATCAATACTTGAATAATTTCTTATACTATGATATTGAAAGCATAAACGATAACATAAATAATTATAGATAAAAAAACCAGTTAAAATAAAAGACGAAAGTGAAATTGTTGCACAAAATAAATCTTTATTAAAGCTCATTACATCTTAGTAATAAATAGCTCGTTACAATCCTGATAGTAAATATATTATGTACAATCATTTTTTTTATATTAAAATGAACACAAATAAGTACAAATAAGTTTTTAGTGTCGCACTAGTACGGATTTTTATGGCACATGAATATGTTTGTTGTTGTTGATATAATAAATTATACGCGTTTACAACACAATGTCCAATGTAACTTTCTTTGTTTACACTTTCTTTATTAGGGATAGTCGTTTATTGATGGTCCCTATCGGCAGTATGGATGAGCAACCAAACTCTGATTAACTTAATAATTAATTAATATGGATATTGTACATTTTTTATTGTGTAAAGAAAAAAGGATAATAGAGAAAAAAGGATTAGATTAGAAAAAGCGAATTATGCAGTTAGAAATTTTAGTTCGAACAATTCTGCCGATTGATTTATTCAATAATCAATTTATCACGTAATATTCATACTAACTTAGTAAATACGGTTAGAATTATAAATTTTTTATTGTTAGAATTTTATTGTTAAAATTTTTTATTGTTTTGTTACTTTAATCAATGATAAATTTAGTTAGTGATATTTATGTTTCGTAATATGAATTTTATTAATTTTTTTTCTTGTTCCTAATCCTTAGCGATAATTTTTCTTGGAGTTTTTTGTATAATTTTTCAGAATTTCTATTATATGATTTTAGAAAACTTCTTAGATACTTATTCAAATTGAAACATTTCAACTGTTGAGAAAGTCTTAATATTTTCAAGAATTCTTTCTATAAACGAATTTTTTTACATATTCTGTGTTAATTTCTCAATTTTATAATTTCCGAAGAAAACTTATAAAATCTAAGATATTTAAGATATTTAAGATATTAAAATAAAATTATTTATAAGGTTATTTAAAATATAAAAAAAATTCTTAAAAATATTATGAGAATTTCTTTTCATTAGGAATGGAACAAAACATTAAATTATACAGTTAGAAATTGTATTCCAAGCAGTCATTCTGCCAATTAAATTAATCTAATTAAGTTAAGCAAAGTTTGGTTGAAGTTGTTCTGAGTCTATTTTGCATTTTTTCGTCGATACTTTATTGCATTTTTATTGCAATAAAATTTCTGATATGTCCATAATTGTACAGCGTGCGACAAACAGGTACTAACAATCTAAGCAATCTAATGAAATATCTAGAGATCGAGAAGCGTTATCTTATATACAACGTATGATATTATGTAATACGCAATATTACGAGGAGGATTTCGAAGGGTTTAAAGTTATAAGTTATAAATATATATGCGTTTCAAAAAATAAAATAAATATACGTATTTATTAGTTTATAAGCGCTTTCACTGTATGAACACATTGAATGACAACATTAACAATACCAAATTTATCCTCGCTTACTGCAAAGACAACTTTACTTTCAGAACTCCGTTGATTATCAAAATCACTATTGCATCTATTTTCGCGAAACACAAATTAACAGTGACATATTACATCAATACATTATAATTTCTTATTCAATATAATGTAACTATTTGTTATATATAACATTTATATTACATTTATATTATAAGTGGAAAATTATTTTTATTAATTTTATGTAATTAATGTATTAATTTAATGTAATGTTACTACACTATTAGTTCGTGTTTCGTGAATTGTACCGATATATTTAATATTATTGCTTAATAATATCCGAATGTATAATAATTTTCCTAATTCTTCCAATGATGATTGAATCTCAAAAACTATTTCACTCGTTGATAAAACAAAGTCTTTGAGTATCTTAACTCTGATCTTACTTTTGTTCTTATGCCGAACAACTAATACATCCATATCGCGAAGAATAATACAAATGCCAACGTTGAACTCTTTTTCAACTCGATATTATTCGCCATCGAACAGCCCGGTGGACATTCCAGTTCGACAGTCCGATTCTGATAAAGAAGATTTCTCATGATCTTCTTTCCCTCGCACGAATTCTCTACTTTAATGAACTTAATCTTCTGAGTCTCGAGAAATTGCTCTAGATCCATGCGACAGCGCCACTTCAACGGGTTGCCAGCAAACTCAACGATATGTAGATTTGGCATATCCTGAAAATCACTGGTGTAGATGCATTGCAGATCGTTGCCCTCGAGATTTAGATAAACTAGCTTGCGCAGATGGCGGAAAGCGCCCGGTGCGATATAGCGGATTGAATTACCGCGCAGATCCAGTCGTTCGAGACGTTCTATATTGAACCAATTCGCCTCAATCGACGTCAGTGGGTTACCCTGAATGGTGAGTCGTTCCAAAAAGTCCAGACCCCGAAAAGCGCCAGGCGAAATCGTTCTCAGACCGCAATTCCTAATAATCAGCTCATGCAAGTTTCGAAAATTGTAGAGAGCATTGACCGGAAGGACGGGCAAATGACCCTCGTAGAATTCGATGTAAACAGCGTTGTGTGGTATGTTTTTCAGCAATATTAGATTGCCACCTACGCAGCGATATCGTGGTTCCGTAGACTCGGGAATTTTAAAGCAAGAACCTTCCAAAGTCTCGTTGTAGAAACCTATCGAGGGTGGCTCGGTAGTCGTAGTAGTCCCCTGTGATGGGGTGTAAGAAGTTACTGCCGTTGTGGAAGGCGTCGGCAATATGGTAACATAACAGTCATCATTCACATCGAATAGGGAGTCGCGATTATACGGTATCTTGCGGGAGTCCAGGAAACTGGCCAGCTTGGTGCCGCACAAGCAACTCCATGGATTGCCCGATACTTTGAGAGAATACAGATGCGGCATTTTGCGTGCCATATGCTCCACGCCGAGGCAGTTCATGTAATTCTCGGATACATCAAGGATATGCAGCTGCGGCAATATGTCGAAGACCTCGTTGGGAATACGATAGATGTGATTGCGCGAGAGGTCCAGGTATCGAAGATTTGTCAGGCCCTCCAATGCCTCGGATGTCACCGAATTCAACTGATTACTGTGCAGTGATAAGCGTTCCAGACTATACAGATCGATGAAGGCGCGATGCTCGATTGTCTCGATATTGGAATCACGTAATTCTAGCTGGGACAGCCAGCCGTCGAAACGAGCAAATGCTCGCGTTGGAATCGTCTTCAGATTCGAAAGGACGATGCGAATAGCGTGAACTGAATGAGGTAAGACATCCAGCTCGGTGAGCGAAGTGATGCCGCTACAGGTGAAAACCTGCCGCGACATTTGAGTCTTGTCTCGCACGCAAGTACCTCTATGAACCTGCGGTTTCTCTGTGGGAACTTGAGCGCTCGGTCTTATTACAGTGATGTTTCTTTGGCTCAGAGTATCCTCGAAAGTGGTCCAATGCACGTGGCCGTGCATCGTCACCTAAAAAGAGATTAGATATATTTAATAATTTTGATAAATAAAATTCTCATAAATATCTTACAAGATTTTTAAGAATTTATTACATTTAAAATTTATGAAGAAATAATTTTCTGAAAAAATATTATAAATTTTTTTTGAGATGATGAATTTCCTTTAGAAATTATATAAAATTATATAAAAGAATTAGAAATCTTAGAATATTTTAGAATATATAAAGAATTCTGGAAAAGATTTTTAGACTTTCTAAAAATTGTTGCAATTTGTATGAATAATCTAAGAAATTATTTTTAATAATTGTAAAATAAAATAATGAACTATAAAATAAATTATAAAATTATAATATATAAAGATTGTGCGTTTTGCAGGTTTAGCAGCCTAATACTGTATATACCTGATATTGGTATCAGGCTACTCCTCATCCTGATAAAGTGGACTGCAAAGTTCACGAAATATTGGAATCCAAAAATGGATCTGGACACCGGAAAAAACCCGCGAAATGCATAATCTTTATACAGAAAGCATCCATGGAAGCTTCAAGAATATTAAATTATAATATGTACCATATAGAAGTTCTTAAAAAATTCTAAACTTTACATAAAAATTCTAAATAATTATGTGAATTCTAAGAAAAATTTTTAACAGAGGTAGTATTAGAGATTAAACAAATAGTATAATTGTATAATTGTGATTCTCTCAGCATAATTGTGATTCATTTAAATTTTGCTAATCAATCGAGACATAATGCGCAAATACGCAACAAGTGGCTTTAAAAGTCGACTGTATATATCGTCAAGCTTAAATCTATATAATGTTAGTTCCAATATCTGAAGAGCGCATCAAAATAAATCACAATTACATTGAGAGACTAGCTATTTGGTAAATCTTTAATATCACTTTAGTGACATTTTTTTCAGAATTCTTCATATAATTTTTTAGAATTTCTATACAATTTTATAATTTTTAAGAAAATTTCTTAAATTTGATTAAATTAATATAGGAAAATGTTGTTTCCTAAGTAAGTAGCAATGTTGAAAAGTCAATATGAGACAAATCTCAGGAATGCAATCTGAATTTGAGAAAAGTGTTTCGTAAATATGAATCAGCTGCTTTCATACGGAGCTAACACTTCTCGGAATTAAGAATGCTTAAAGGACTATAGAAATATCCAAGTCCAAGGAGCCATCTCGAATTTCCTACTTTACTTCTCATCAGTAAATAAAATTCATTTGATTTATTTTCAGCAAATATTAAGATTTTTCAGAATGAATTTCCGACAATAATTTTTTTATAAAGAAAACAAATACGAAATCGGTTTCAATGAAATTCAAATTTGATTGTCTTAATATTTAATAAAAGTTTCATAAAATAATTAAATGACGCAAATAAATTTATATGGAAATTTTATCTTTAATTTACTAATTAATTTAATAATAATAAGTGAAAATCGAGAAATAAAAAAACCGAGAATTAAGCGAAAGAGGCCATACTCGATCAAAATGGATGTTCCATAATAATATTTTATCTTATAACTTCCAATTAAAAGTATTGTTAACAACAAATTAATAAAACAAATAAAAAAACAAAATAAAATAATAAAAAATAATAACAAAATAAAACGAAATAAAATAAATAACATCAAGTTAATACTGAAAATCAAGCGATCAATCATTGGCCAGTATTAGTATTAATCCTTACAATACAAGGTACAATTTGGTGCCTCATCCAAATATGGGTCACTACAATATATCCGTTTGTTTTTTTCATCTGTTCAAAAAATCTTTAAAAATTCACCAATATATTTTCAATTTTCTAGAATAAATATTGAAACTTTATTTTGGAAAATAATAAAATGTAGTATAATTTATAATCTCTGAAAGACTCAAAGAAACTTGCACGAACAGAAGTCACTAGTGATCCGACCTTGTATCGGTTAAATTTCTACAAGGGTAACATGCTCCTACCATATCTAATCTTACCCTAAGCGCATTGGGATGAACAGATGCTATGATAGGAACATGTTGGAGCATGTTGAAGCATGCAACGCGAACAAATCTAATATTTCATAAAGAGTGCATTTGGTTTTGATACACACACACACACACACACACACACACACACACACACACACACAAACGCACACACACACATACACACACACACACACACACACACAAACGCACACACGCACATACGCACGCACGCATGGGTTGATTCATAAGGTGCAGTCGAGTTGTCGTTATGAATGTTTCGAAGCATTTTTTGATTGGTTGACTAGTAAAAATTCTTTCTTCTGATTGGTCAATCAAATGCTTTGAAGCATTCGTAGCAGCAACTCGATTACAGCTATTAGTCGTGAATCAACTTGAGATTTGAGCTAGATTTGAATCAGTCTTTCATTTGAAAAACACTTCTTAAATCACGATTTAATAAATCTAATTAATTCAAACTTTGATTTAAAAATAATTCGCTTTACATGAAAATCAATTGTGGATTGATCTATGACTATGAATATATGGATCTAAACTTTATTCTATTTTTATCGCTCATTATATTCGAAAGAAAGTAAAATGCAATTTAAAAAAATCTTTATATAATAAATGCGTAAAAGAGCAGCACATAAAAAATAAACTCAAAAAAGAATTTCCTGGTGAAAATAAAAATCGGAGCGTAAATCGAATGTAATGAGAGAATAATAGAAGTAAACGATCAAATTTCTATTAGAAGTTTAATGAAAATTGAAACAATGAAACATAAAGAGACGTTTATTTCCGTTTTTTCAATTTTCGCCTGCTAGAAGCTTCATTTACGCTTCTATTACTCTCCCATTACATTCGATTTATGTTCCGATTTTTATTTTCATCAGGGTTCGTCTTCTCTTTCGAAGCTACATGGAAATATTATCCGAATTGCCTTTATTTTATCTTCATCAAATATTAAAGAAGAATAAAATGATACATGGAGTAACTTAGATAATGTTTCCAAGTGTTTCTAAATATATCTGAGAATAAAAAATTTTGATCTATCTTCAGAAAAATTAAAATCTTTTCTTTCGAATATCGCCACGTCTGCTGCTTACTTGCGGGTGCTGCCATCCGTCGGTCGGTTCAATAACTTCGTTCTCTTCGTAACAACGATCAGCATGAGTGATGTCAAATCCCACGTTATGGTCCATCAGGTATTTCTCCAGATTCCTGCGGCACTCGCAATACCACGGGTTCCCGATGATGTCGAGTCGTTCGAGGTGCCTCAGATGTGTCAGCTCGTCCAACGGCAGGCAACGCAGTCGATTGTACCGCATGTCCAGATGGCGCAAGTTGCCGACGAGTGGGCGCAAAGCACCAGGCTCAATGTGCTCGATGTCGTTGCGCGCGAGCACCAATTGGCGGAGCGCAACGAGATCACTGAACCAATGGGCGGCAACCGCGGGTAGCCGGTTGCCGACGAGCGTGAGCCGTTGCAGCTGATGCAGACCGGCGAACGCGCCCGGCTCGATCGCGCCGATCGAGCAATCGCGCAGATCCAGACTGCGCAGGCTGTTGCCAAAACGGAAGAACGCGTACGCGGGCAAACGATCGATTCCCAGACCCACGATCTGAATCCACGTAGTCCTGTCCGGCAGACGGTCCAATGACGTCAGCGCGCTTATCTGGAAGCGGTGGCCGGAACGTTCCTGCGCGAGAGAACGAGCGAGATAAGATATCTGGAATATCTGGACGCGCGATCGCAATTTCCGATCGCGACAGAGAGGTGAGCGTACCCGCTCGTGCTGGGTGGTAGCAATCATGTAACTTTTTCCCTCTAATACCCGTTTCTGCCAGTTAATTTTAATCTTGATTCAATTAATTCTTCATCTCATTCTAGTCTTAATGCCCAATGTAGTCTAATTTTCAATGTAGTCTAATTTTTATCTTGATTTAATTAACTCTTCATATCTTTCTAATTCTAAGGATTAAAAAAGATGTAGAGTATGTTGAACCGAGATTAAAATTAATCTACATTGATAGGAAGGGGCATAAGTCTATTTCTACTAATGTAATAGATTAACTTTAATCTCGATTTAATTTACATTCTTTTTTAACTAGAAAAAGATAAAAAGTGTGTTAAACCAAGATTAAATCTACATTAATAGAAAGAGGTCTAAGAATTAGAAAAAGATGAACAGCAAGTAGAATCGTGACTAAAGATGATATTGATAGAAACATTTAAATTCTGATCTACAACAACAAGATTTTAGCCTTTTTGATCTAAACTTTAAACGTTAGACAGCGAAGGCTAATTTTTAAAAATACAGTTCTTCTGAATAAGATTTGTTATAATTTATTAATATTTTGTTATATATTTCATTGTGTACTCCTTGTCTCAGAATATAACAATGTTTCAGTGCCTTTATAGTGACTTTTATTCAGTAAGTTAAATTTTATGATTGAGATGAAAGCGAGTTGTTCGCTTAAAACTTAGAGATTATTGCTTAAGATAATGTCGAAAATGTTCTTTGAAAAAATGTCAGTTTAGAAACCTGTTCTTTATTAAAGAATTTTCTGAATTGGTGTATATATTCGGCGCAATAAATCGAAGTAAAATAAATATATAATTTATATATTCTTATTATATCGATATACATTAAAGAATTTAAGAAGATAAACAACACATCTTAGAGTTTACAGCAAAAGACTAAAGGCTTACTACACTTATCGTAGATCGATTTAAACTGATTAAAGGTCAGCGGCACACAAATGCATATTTTCTTGCTGAATTAGTTGCGTTCTAATAAATTACTAGAGCTATACCACATGTACTAGAATTATACAATAATTTCCAGTAATTTCCAGTAATTTACTAAAATACAAGCATGCAAGAAACTATATATCGTGTGCCGTTGAAGAGATAGAAATATGAAAAGTGAAATTTTGTCAATGAAGATAACGGAGAAATTTTTTACTTTTCACATTTTCTAGCTAGGGAGAAAGTTACATGAAAAATTCCATCGTATTCGATTACATATACAGTTCATGTTATCTCCATCGTTTTGTTTTCGATTATCACCGACCACGATAATCAACTGAAACTCGAGTTTTGCTTCTCCTCGTGAATCTCTGAGCGAATTCGTGGACGTGATTATCAACAAAGACTTAATGTGTGTATGTGACGGAACGGAGTTAATCACACTAATTATATCCATTATATCGCGGTGATCTTTGCTTCCTACGCGACTCGTATCGATCGCGCGTCGATTGCATAGCGCGCGCGATTTTTCGTCAATCCCACGGCGAGCCAATCAGGGCAATAGTCTCGAGAGCCACGTGACCCGGCTCGCGCGAACTTCACTTGAGAGTTACGTTCGAGACGATCGAGTTGTCACGTAGGCCGAGACGGACTCCAATGTTTCTACACTTGTGATCTCGTGCATCTAATATACGAAGGAACGCTCGTCGTCGGTTGCTCAAGGATTGCGTGTCGACTGGTAACCGCCCTTAGGGCCGGGCGGAAGGAAACCCAGCGTCTGCGAACAATCGCATCGCGCGAGTCACGTGATTCGTGCGTCCGTCCGCCATATGTCGCGCGCGGTTTTCGTCGGAGCGGACCTATGCACGCGTCGCGTCGTTCAGGTTCGACATCGGACGTTTTTCCGCTTATGTGTCGTGCGCTCGTGTCATTTACATGTCACGCGCGGGTTTTCGCGAGACGACGCCGCGTGTCGTCGCTGGAACTCGGAAGCAGCCGTCGAAGGGAGACAATGGCATCCGAGGGGACGCCGTACAACACGCAAGGATTAGTCGTGGCGCTACTGAGAACGCGATTCCGTACTCCGATAAGGTGAGTTTGTTTGTTTGTGAGTGAGTTTGTATTGAACTATTTTCCCAGTGGGAGGGACGTTGAAGTACAGCAATGGCAATTTCGACGAATTTGAATACTGCAGAATAGGCATGTCCTACTTTAGCTTCGGAGTAGAAAGGCCATCGGCGAAAAAGAATTTAATACGGTAAGATTTTGGAAACTGTAACAATGCGCTCGAAAACACTACTCAAGTTCTCTGAATATTACTTTATCCTTATCATTTTATTCTTATTATCTGGGGCTAAAATTGGACATGCCTGCTGTAGAAAATTAGTTTTATAAAATGATGTAAAATATGTATAAAAAATATGTACGTGAATATTAAATTTATTTTAATAATAATATAAGTTTATTTTAATATCAATCATTCAAATTTACAAATGTAGAGATGTATAATTGAGTGGCTTCACTAGATTGATCGTTATCTAAGAAAGTTAAGATGAGCGTAAGATTTCCTATAGATTGTGCTATATGTAAAAATTTTTATTTTTTATAAACTTGATATTTCTCGAAATTGTTGCGTTTGCGATTAATTTAGAATTTTTTAAATAGTGATTTGCGAGAAATCAATAACTGATCGAAGAAAATGGAAATCGAAATTATATTAATTTATGATAAATGAATTATATATGAAGAATATGAATTTTTGATAGCGTCTTTTCCACGCTACAAATAAATCTGATTATTTCTAATGAAGTATCATCGGTTTATATCCATTTATGATATCTCCCGTTAATATTCGTATTAAATTATATCTAGATATTAATTGCCTGATTTTCCTTCCTGTGTGATAATGTGAAGGAGACTAAAAACACCGAGAGCAACGACATTACACGATCGTTAAACGCGCAATTAAATTCTTAATTGGCTTTCATACGCGAACTAACGTTAACATTAAATTTTGAACTAACGTTAACATTAAATTTTTTTCACAATATGCATTTGATAAGGTTTTTTTAGGCGGTAGAAAATCATAGTAATGAGATACCTGTAAGACATTATGCGATATTATTAGATAGATAATTATGATCGAGGCGTTTCTGCTCCACCTTAAGATCTCGCTTGTACTCCCTGAAACACGATACTATGAAAAAATAATGCAGTTTGACTTGAGCAGTATTGTTTTACTGTCGGTATATCGATACTCAATGTGGTTGCAGCTTATTTCATAAGATCACAAAACGGACAACGTTTAGGAAGCTAATACTTTACTATTACTTCGATGTTTTCATAAAGATCTCAAATTCCTAATATTCAATTCGAATTTATCTGATGACTAATGTTGATTAATTTTAATCTTGGTTTAATTTATTTTTTATCTTTTTCTAATTTTAGGTTCGTTTCTACCGTAAAATACGAAAATGTAAAATTATATAAATTACATTACAGTTTTGGCTATAAGTATAAAGAATCCTCAATTTATTGCATTTTCTTGGAAAATGCGGTAATGAAAGTCTAAAGAAGAATTAACAAATAAAATAATAAAATTGTTATAAAAATAAATATTATTTTTCAATAAAACTGGTTCTAATTTTTGTAAAACTAGGTGAAGATAAATAGTAAATTAAACCGAGATTAAAGATAATTTACATTTGTAAAAAATGAATATGAATTAGAAATATTAATCTTCCATAGCTGTTGACGCCAATAAACTGAAAACTTTCGCAGAACAAAACAAAACGGATTTATATACACAAAAAACATTTATGCCCATTTCTATCAATGTAATTTAATTTTAATCCCGATTTAATTTACTTGTGTCTTTTTCTGATACTCAGATTTAGAAAAGAATATAAAATAAGTTTAGAAATTAAAACTAATCTACAATCTTGATTATAAATACAAAGCACTCTGTGCATAAATTGATGTATACATTCTATCTGTAGCTAACGAAAAATAAATTAAAATCTTGATTTATTGAAAAATAATATATATTGTTCTACTAATTTTATTATTTTGTTAATCTTCCTTTGGAACTTTTATTATCACCTTTTCTAAGAAAATGCAATAAGTGGGCGATATTTTGTACTTATGGCCAAAGCTATATATTAATAAGAATGAACATTAAAATAAATAGGATAAAAATAGCTACGTTACGTCATTATTGAATTATAAATGACTGATTTACCTCGAAATTTTCTATCGATTCGATGGTTATCGTCGGAGGTGGAAGCGGGATTTCAATCTGTGTCATGCACTGCGGATTTCGATGCAGGGTGCAAATCCTCGGTCGAAATCTACATTCAATCTCTTGGATGATCGATCTCTCGCGAAAGAACCTCTCCATTCTCAGGCGGCACTCGCACAACCACGGATTGCCATCAATGCGCACGGTCTTGAGCGCGGTCAGATATGACAGTTCCTCCACCGACAAACAATCGAGGTCATTGTCGCGCAAGTCCAGGGTCTCCAGTCGCGGTAACATGCGAAAAACGTCAGGTTCGACGTGCACCAGGCCGCATCTGAAAGAAAAAACGCGAGATGTACTTCATGTATTGTGCACACTGGAGAAAGAATCTAGATGCATTAATTAGAATTCTGATGGAAAGATAACAAATCAAAGTGTTTTGGTTAAATCTTTTAGAATTGTAATCGAGATAACCAGATGTTCAATTACGATGGCCAAAATTCTGATTGATATGATCAGAGTATGCTGATTCGTTTATTTTCAATCAGAAGTTTTTCTCAGTTTTCAAACTTGGAGATCACAAGAGTTAGAATATACATCATAAGCTAACTCTCGAGATCTTTAACTGGAATAAGCGTAAACATTTCATTACATAAACAACTTCAGTGTTGAATTCATAAATTATACTCAATTTGAGTTATTTTTAATCATTTTTATGTCACTGTTCTTACTCAATATGTCGTTAATTAAAACAATGGAATTAAACAATTTAATTCAAATAAATGTGTTAAATTTGATTATTATAAATATATATGTTAATATAAACATATTGTTTACTTTGAAATTAACTACAGAAAATTAGTTGATTTAAATTATGACACACATGAGAATTAAAAGAATGAGAATTAAATGAGAATTAAACTTAAGGAATTGGGTTATCATTGCTTTTTTGATATCTAACAGTATTTGACAATGAAATAATACAATAATATTCTATTAAATAACATGATAATGTCATTATTTAGTCGTTTAAAATATTTGTATACTTTTGCATTTACTTTGCTATTTCATGTACAGCAACTTTTGTATTCACTAATTTAGTGTAATAATTTAAGTAAATCAAACTCACTATTATCTACATCTTAAAAAATAGAAAATTGCACTTTCATATTTAGCTTCATCGCGGGAAGGAATCCTTATAATTAAGACTCAATATTGGAAATATTTTTTTAGTGGAATTGAAAGTTCTTAAAACTCTTCAAATTTCTAGATCTTTTGAAACGAACTTTTGCCAGGCATTGAGTTTGGCTCTGAGATTTCCGTTAATCGAGTTTAATATCTAATATTTGTATACCAAATGACATTACGATCGCAATGGTGCAACGAATAACTGGGTCATCGACATTACCGAATGTATAACTGCCGGACGCTTTATATAAGCTGCTGCACCATGTGGCCTCAATCTATCGATGCCCTCGAGTTTTATGAATATAGCGATGCTCTGACAATATTGTCGATGACATTTTGCAATCACTAATGTGGCATTGACTGCCACGGATCAAATGAAATAAAAAGATTTTTAATTGATGATAATAATAAAATTAATAATTTCTATGTATAATGATTTTTTTATAACTGTGATGTATTTTCGTAGAACTAACGTTGAACAAACTATAGTTATGTGTATTTTGTTCCCTTGATATTATTCATTTAAATAGCGTTTTTAACCAAAAATTTATCGGAATTTTGTCAAGTTAGATTCATAATTAGACTGTAGACATAATCAGAAAAACAGTACCTGTCTAGAATCAGTCGTCTGATATTCGGCAAGTGGCGGAACCACGCGGACCTCACCGCATGGATCCTCGTGCCATGGAAAATCAGCCATTCGAGTCGATTCAAGCCGCGAAACGCCGCGGGTTCGATCAAATTTACGTAGCAATTGTAAAAAGACAGGCGACGTAAATTCGGGAATCGGTGAAACGCGTCGTCGGGAATCGTGTGGAAGCGCGACACTGAGAATTCAATCCACTCAGTCTCGCCGGACAGTTCGTCGAGATCGCTTAGGTCACCATGGATGCACGCGTAGGCGATCGACCGATCATTGTCGGCAATCGGTGCTAAGCTGCATTTGCCGTGCACTTGGCCAATTAGACCGACCAACGCCCAAAGAAGCAATATCGAATTGACCATCCTTCGTGGTCGTCTAGTCGATGCTAGTGGGTCACCTGGAAAAGGGAAGGCCTTTAATGAAATATCAATGATTATTTTCGAAATTATATTTAGATCTCGATGTATGCTATATAGAATAAATATTTTATAAAATGTCGGTACAAATTGACATTATAAAGTATTAATCAAGATATATACGGAAAAAATGATTTTGTTGAAGTATCAAAAAATGTTTAGCTGGATACAGATCTGAAAGTAATTTTGTTAGACTCAAAATAATTATGGACGCTTAAACATAAGCAATATTGCAAAAACATTTTAGCAATCAACTTCTACATAATTATTTTGTCCAACAAAATTATTTTCAGATCTGTATAGAGTTAAATTTTTAGATATTTTAACAAAACCATTCTAGCGTGTATAAATCAAATATAGCATACTATGCAAGTATGCGTGAATATATAACTTATGCTTTTAGAAATTTTTAAAATTAAAACTTTTATAAACTATTTAATAATATTATAAAATGTAGCTGCTATATTAATTTATTATTGTATTATTGTATTATTTAATTAATTTAATTGAAATATTCAGTATTAATTTATTAATATATTATTTAATTAACTTAATTGAGATATTCAGTATTCAAAACGAGATATGAAGGTTTTCATAACATTGTGCGTAATGGACATCTCCTTAGGCTGGAATCAGACTTACATTGAAGATTGAGATTGAAAATTAAAGATTGAAATTTCATCAATGAGGACAAAGAAACAATTTTTGGCTCCTTTTGTTCTGATTGTCAAACTTCAATCTTTCAATTTTCAATCTTCAATAGTCTGATTCGGGCGTTATCTGGAAATTTATCTAATTGATATTGCGTAATCTCACCCGCTCACTTTTCTGGCGTGGCTCGTTTCAACTCTAGAAACATGCGAAACAGTTTAATACCTTGATATCTAAAATATGTTACAGAATATTAAAGAATTGTTCGAGCGACCGGCGAATAAATTATTGTACTACGGCTTTATTTGCGTATCGCAGTTATGTCAGTTCTGCGATGATCTCATGGTCAGAGAATAAACACGGACCTAAAGTGTTGATGCGTTAAGTGCATGGTTAATGCCAAATTTTCGTTTCGTCGGGATATTGTTGCATTTGCCGCACGCTCGATGTCGTTACAAAGTAATACGACTTTACGATACTCCGAACTCTCCGCCGAAGATATTCTGTCCAACAAGCTTCACGTAACGTCGTTTGCATGGAACAAACTAAAAAGAGTCAAATAGATTTTTTGCATATCTAACGAGCTTAGTCTGCGTAGCAGATGCGATCTCGTACGCGTGACCATAACCATAATAAAGAAATCCAAGGTCGCATTAAGTTTGCTTTTCAACAGATGCGCGCTCAATGCGAGAAATCAGCCCTAATCCTTCTCCCAATTTTAACATTCGTTATTATTATTATTTAGTAGCGTCGGTTTATTTAAATCGTCGCAGTTAAATACAGATTACGAAATACAAGCATTTTGAACAACTTGCAACATGCAATTGTTGGAAAAAGAAACTAACTTAGATGAAATATGAGATTCTATATTAAAAAGTGTTTTTTTTTTTAAAGATTTCTATTTCTATAAATATAAATTAACTTTAATCTCAATTTAATTTATTCTTTATCGGTTTATATTATTCTTTATCTTCTTCTAATTCTTAGAATTAGAAAAAGATAAGTAAATCCGATTAAAGTTCATAAAAGTTACGCGTTTTGCGGGTTATCTCCACAGCTTGATACATCGTTAAATTACTAAATTAAATTACTAAAGTGAGCATTGCAGTTTATTTCATCAAGAAAAGAACTTGATACGAGAGTTAAAATTAATCTATATTGATACATGTTAGGAAAAGTCTGTTGCATTAATTGGAATTTTAATAAATTTTAATAAATTTAATTTGTATAGAAAGGTATAAATTAGACACTTGTAGTGTTAAGTCTATCAAACATTTTAGTTGAGAATAACTACTAGTTATAATTAATTAATAGTTAATATTAATTAATTTAAAAAAAGACAACTTTAAATAACTATTTAAAATTATACGCACTTTCGAAAATGTCAAAATAATAAAAAGGTGAAAAAAACAGGCTAATTAGAGTGAAGCGCTGTAAGCGTTGCGCAATTTTTGTATGTGTAAATTTTTAATTTATTAGGACGTTTCGAGTTATCATAATCTATAAAATTACATTGAGTTGAATCCTTAGCGAGAGAACCCTACCAATTATCACTAGTTATCATTTCATTGTAGATTATTGCTGAAAATAATTCGAACGTAAGTCGAAACGCCCTAATAAATTGAAGATTTATGTATACAAAAATTGTGCAACGCTTCACTCTCATTAGCCGTTTCTTCATCTTTTTATTAATTAATTAATAATTGAAACTCAATTATAATCAAAAATCTGATTCGTATGATCAGAATTGTACTTGTTGATACAATTAAAATATTTTTCTTAATACATATATAGAAATAGACATAATATAAAAGAACTAAAATTAACTAAAGAATAGAAGAACTGATTTTTTTTTTTAGAAAATATCTACTAATCGGGATTTCGAATTTCGAGAATGTTATACGAATTCCACGTATAATCTTGTTGCAATCTCGTCTCGGAGAAACTCACCGCGAAATGGGTGAACACTGCGTAAACAATGTCGTAAACAATGCTTGACTTCACTAGATGGGCACTGCGACGCGTCGCGCGGCACTGACGCTCTGTCAAAAAAGCGGAAGAACCTCGCGATCTCTGTCGTGCCGCCGCTGCCACCCACGGGCTACCTCCGTTTCTGCCAAGAAGAGACGTTGATTTTCCACAGCGCGGCAGAGAAATCCCCACCGCGGTCTCCGGTCAGTCGATCAGTTGCAGCGCGCGCGCTCCTTTAATGGCACTTTTATTTTTCCGACTGAGCGACTACCATCTCGAGCGGTGTCGTTCGCATTTTCTTTAACGACCTCGTGGAAATTTCCAACGTTGTGAAGTGGATCTCCGATCATAATAGAACGAAAATTAATTTCACAGCAAAAAGTGCGAAAAAAATTCGAATGCTTGAGCCCGCTAACTTACAATTAACCGGCTTGTAAAACTGCGTGGAAAAACGTTTCAATTAGGTTTTTGCCCTCGAGCGAAAAATAAAAACTTTTGCGTTGACGTGGAAAATAAGAGCGATAGGCGCTTTAATAATGCATTGGCGATGCAATTTGTTCTCTTCTTGGAAAAAGCGTGAGAAGCATTCTAATAATGTTTCGAGTATAAATCGATATAGAGCATATGAAGAGGAAAAAAAGAAAAATGGCATTCGGAAATGCGTTCTGTCTGGTAGATTGCGATTGGCTTGAATATCGCGTCGAAACGACTGAGCTCGTGAATCAGCCGCTTCCTCATTATATAAGCTCGTAAGGCCAAGGTCGCCCTTGTTCCCTGCGCCGGTAATGGATGCACACCGATTCCTGCTTGCAACGACCTATCTTTAGCACGGCGCGCTCTAGTTTGGCATAAAACTAGACGCGTAATATAGGGTGACGCATAATACGCGATGAGGACGAGTGGGGGTGACTGACAGTAAATTTTTGTTTGCGAGATCCGATGGAAAAGAGAGATATATCGCGTTTGCGTGAACACCTTTCTGTGTATATCCGCGAAATATAAAAAAATATATTCACACTGAATATATTCAGTGTGAATATATTCACACTGAAGAAACTGTAGGAAGAAAACTGTATTTGATATTTATGATAATTGTAAAATAATTATGATTATAAACTTGTTATATAGTTATTACTATTATAATGTTACACTAAGAATAATTCCATTTGGTTGATTCAATTAAACAAATCCTTAATCGATGCAATAAAATAATAAAAAATTTGGTTATTGTAAAATTTTACTTGTTTTATTAGGAACAAGTAAAAATGTTATAATAATCAAACTTTTTACTTCCAAACTAAACCAAGAATTTGTTTACCAAACAAGAGATTAGTTGATTCAACCAAATGAAATTTTCAATGTAGTAGTAATAATAATAATATTTATAGTTCTATAAAAACATATATAGTTGGTTAAAAAATGACTACAAATTATGATTAAATTATGATAATTATGATAAAATTGTAATCATTTTCTTTCTGACAGTGTACAGAGAGTTTAATTTAATCTTTACAAGACGGAAAAGCTATACTATAGTGGCGTTAAAAAATATCATATTTTGAGGCAAGAGAATACAATGATATAATGAATTATTATATATAAATCTTATTGAAGGAAATGCATAAAATTTCGAAAATAGACATTCTTCCTCTAAAGATTATAACTTTATCTTTATAACTTACCTTTGTCAATAATAATGATATACTTCTACAACATCTGCAAAAAACCATTGTTAATTAGTTGAAGAACGTCGGAGAGTCACAATTTTGTCGTCAATAAACGTATATCGTTCTAAAAAATAATTTGATAGAAAAGTTCTGTGAACGATTTAGAAAATCACGATCGGATCTGGATGAAATATTGATTCGCATCGTTAGCTATTTAGCGTCAAATAGCTAACGATGCGAATCAATATTCAACGAACCGTCACGATTAAATCATGACAAATCTTTTTCACAATTCGTCAGCTCGAGCTTGATTCTTACGATCTAACTGTGTCCACACCTTCGGCCTCTTTTTTTCACCCCGTGCAAAAACGCCCGCGCCCTTTCGTGCCCCACCCTGCGCCGTGTTAGCCGTGTACCTACTTGCGTTCCCTGCGTGGCCTATGTGCCTATGGCACCGCGTGATCGGTCCACACCTGCGTCAATCCACTACTACGCCCCGCGAAAATGGTAACGCTCTTCGGGCCGCCAAGGTCTCTCGCGACGCGCTGACGACGACGTCCAGGCCCTCCTCGTCTCTCGGTCGCCTTCTCCTTTTCCTCTTCTTTTTCTTTCTTCTGCATCTGTCTCAATCCCTCTTGAACAACTGCATTTACGACGTACGTATATACGTATATACGCGGTGCACATGCTGGCGTGACGAAATGCATACCGTTTCAAAACGCTCCGCTTGCTGTCTGTCTCCTTTTATCTGGTCTTTTCTACCCTGTCTTCTTCCGTATACGCGAAAAGAACGATTTTGCTTAAATATTAAAAAATTTAAGTAGATACAGGTTTATAAAATAATAATTGTGTTGGACAATCAAAATAATTATGTAAGAAATTTAAGTATAATAAATAATGCTAATAAACAAAAAGTTTTGACATTCTAACAATCAGTTTGAGCGTTCTGCATAATTATTTTAACAGTTCAATAAAATTACTTTCCACTCTTCTCTCACATATATGAAAAGAATGATTTTGTTTAAATATTAAAAAATTTAAATAGACACAGATCTGAAAATAATTTTGTTGGATAATCAAAATAATTATGTAGAAAATTCAAGCATAAACAATGCTAACAATTTTGACATTCTAGCAACCAGTTCTGTATAATTATTTTGACAGTTCAAAATTATTTTCAAATCTGTATCTACCTAAATTTCTCAATATTTTAGCAAAATCGTTCTTTCCGTATACATGTCGATTTTTAATTTTTACACAAATTGTCGATTTCAAAATTTCATGGCAAGTACAAATAAAAATACATAAATCTTCAAACTTTCAGCAAATTCGATCTCTGGTGTAGTGTATATTTTTCTAACGTTTCGAGCAGAGTTGGCAATGTTCTCTTGGCAAAGTGGAAAAGAGAAAATTTATGAAGACATGAGATGTTATTGCGGCAGTGGACTTGAACTTGTAGGTGTATGTGTTTGTTGACCGTTTTGTATCGACTTTTCTCCCGAGGCACATTTTCCGCGACATTGAACATCTTGATTTTCAAACTTAAAATTAAACACGACAAACTGTTTTCAACGTCTTAATCTTTGTTTTTTTTTTTCTCATTGATGAGGTCTCAAATATTTGAGCCAAGTAAAATATTGTAAGATTCTTAATTAAAGGACTAATTGATTAAGTTTGACTTATTATAAAATTATTTAATCTTCGTACATTTCTTATTTTCATAGTCTTCTCGCCTGTTACAATTTAATGTTTAACGTGCCTGTTATTTAATTAAATAAGTGCGAAGATTAAATAATTTTATTATACCTTTGAGAGTTCTTATATATAGTTCATATTACTTAATTACTAATTAAAATTTTTATGGCATCAGGGTTACATTTCTTTAAATTAATATTGATCTTTCATTATCTATTGCATAGTTTAAATTAAATTTAAAAAATCGACAAAATGGTAAAAAAGTCTATTATTAAAATTCAATTTGATTTTCTAACATTTATAAACATAGAAAATTTAGTTAAATAATTTGATTTATACTCAACTTTAAATCAACCTGTCAGAATTAATTTTGAACGGAGAGTAGATCAATTATCTTCTTGCTATATCGAACTATGTCATATAAAAATTATGAGAACATTAATAGATACGTAACTTCTCATAAGAAATTAATTACGATGAGACGACAAAGTGTAGCAGTATGTATTATATAGCAGTACATCGATAACCCGCGCTACATGTATATCACGATACGCATTTAATACGTTATGCAATGTCACGGCCTAGTCCAGAAATGCGCATTACATCATACAACCTATGGAGGTCTGATTACACTTTAGGAAGAGTATAATTGAACGAACGCTTCACGCATGTTTTTCATTTACGTGTTTTTCATTTGCCATTAGCTCAATTAAATCATCATACGTGTTTTATAGAAGATGAGCCGCACGCGAACTAGTCAAGAATTAAGGAAAAAAACAAATCAAATAACATGATAATTTAATGTTACATCAGGAATTTTCATGAAAATTGCATGATATTTAACTCTTTCACTGTAATTTATGACAGGCAAATTAATCGTTCTCCATAATGATTAATCTTATCTGTCTAATATAACCGAACATATGTTAACGGGACAACAAAATTGGCACGAATAAAAAAGATAAAAAAATTCAGATGTGAAAAAAGTCAGCGGCTGTGTATAGCAGAAAAAGTTGTTTTATAACTGTTATAAGATTCTTTAATACACGACTCTCTTACTCTTAATCTCTCTCTCTCTCTCTCTCTCTCTCTCTCTCTCTCTCTCTCTCTCTCTCTCTCTCTCTCTCTCTCTCTATCTCTCTTTCTCTCTCTTTCTCTCTCTCTACGTCTAAATATATAAACCAATTAAAGAATCTCTACAACAGTTGCAAAGCTGCTTTTTCTATTGAATATGCAGGCATTATGTCGCGAGATTTCACAAATCTTTTTGGAGATATCCATTTCGAATAAACTTTATTTCAGGAGAAATCACTCGGAGTTTAATCGAATCCAACGAAGTACTCGGCGTGATCAAAGGTATAAAAATCACGCATTTTACACGTCTTGCGGCGTCTGTTCATCGATCCATCTATCCATCTACCTATCCATTCGTCTACTTTACCCATCCAAGCCGAATGCCGAAGACGATGCGTCGTCATTGGGGGACCGGCAGTCTCGCGCGGGCTGTCGTTCGCGACGCATGCAGTTCCGTGTTTGTTCATTCCGTTCATTCACTACCGCCGACACGATCGTTTCTGCAAAACAAGCTCCGTGCAATCCTCGATTCTGCGATGATCAACCGCATCTCTGTGATGTCGCGCGAGCATCTCCGTGAGTACACGCGAAATCGATGATCCTCAACGATCGAGATATCTCGGCCGGATCGTCAATGAGACAACGATCGGTGCTGTCATTTATCCCATAGAGTCGTTATTTATCTTTTACGCGATATATGAATTCTTGATTTGTTCTTCTCATGCGATTGATTTTCCTCAGTTGAAAAACGACGTGGATCTCTGTTATGAAATTATTTAATAATGTAGATTGTATATTTGTAATAAAATATTTATACATGTGAAAATTATTACTTAAATTATTACTTATCACCTGCTTTATTTTTTATTAAATTGTTAAAAGATTACTGACTTAAAATCAGTATTTTAAGAATAAATATTTTTTTTAATGATCCTAACAGTTTAATACTATTGATAGAGATGTATTTATTATAATATTAATAAGAGATGCAATAAGAGATTATTTGATCTCCTTATCGAAATCGTAAATATGTAATCGATTGGTATTAGGAATTTTAAAGAATGTCTCAGAATTTCTCTATAACATCCTGTGTATGGTTTAATGTTTTTTAATAAAAATTGATATATTTTGTACTATGAGAAAGAGAGAGAGAGAGAGAGAGAGAGAGAGAGAGAGAGAGAGAGAGAGAGAGAGAGAGAGAGAGAGTATTAAAAATAGTAGTTAAAAAAAAGAGTAATATAAAAAAATATAAAAAATAGTAATATTATTTTTAAGTCACTTGGGATGTAATAGAGAAGATATATATACATATAGCAGGTGTCTCTCTTTCGATGATCCGGAAAAAAAAGAGACAATAATAAAAAAAGAAGCAGGTTATTGCAATTTCTTGTATGCAGGGTTCTGATCGAGGGCAGCCGGAAGGAGAGTGCAACTGGTGGAAAAATGGATTCTCACGACGGTAGCGCGAGGTTTCCCCCTCGCGAGCCGCGGCTAGATTTACGTGGGATGCCACGAGCCATAATCACGGCAGGTGGGTAGAGTCGAACAGGTATTT